CTTCATGCTACAGAAACCGGGATAAGCTCCGGCCTGATAGGCCACTTGGCTCGCATGCAGACTTTACCTTTACCTTTTAAGGAACAGAGAGCGAATCCTGGCCCAACAAAAGAGATATCGTGCAGAGAACGTCGGAATTCTCAAAACCCGTCGTAAAAGATGGTATGAAAACAACAGGGAACGACTCGCCAGCAGACAGAGAGCCTATTGTCAACAGAACAAGGAGCACACCAGAAATTACCGAAAACAATACTGTAAAAACAACAGGGAACGGATCAACAAATATTGGAGAAGTTATTATGCCAAGAATAAGGAACGGATCAGGCGAAGACTTCATGACCAAAAGCAAAGAAAGCTAAGGCAGAATATCGTGCGTTTTGGGGCTAGGGGCCAAGACTCTGTGAAACTGGAAACGAGTCTAGTTCCCAACACTTTGTGTAATACCGACGGTTAAGACTTAAAATTGTAATCAACTCTCCCTTTGGAGTTATTATTATTCAATAAACGTTATAAAGAATAAGACTCTTTGTCTTGTTTATAACAATTTAGCAATTCATTTCCACTTGGAGCATTTCAATTGTATTTTATTTTTCTTCTCACCTTTTACCCTATATATTTTTGCCTTCGCTTATTATTCATTACTCGTCAAGAGTTGCATTTACGCTAGGTAAAATTATTTCTGTTCCATTTTTTGATAGTGTTATTTTATTTGAGACACAATGACCTGCTTTCTGTAATTTTAGCGCAAACGTTTTGGACATCAAAGTTCATTTAAAAAATTGTGTGACAACAATAGAAACCGATCTTTTTACTCGATCAACATGGCAATGACGTCATATCTTTTAATGTTAGCACAAAAGTTTTGATATTAAAGTTCGTGACATTTGACATTGTGTAATGTTTGGTTTAGTGCTCTCCTTAAGAGAGGGGGACTGGGGACGCCAACCACTGTAGGTACGTTAATTCATTCTGATTGGTTCCCGATGAGTTCATTGTCCCATGATGCTTTGCACCACCGTATGTAGGCTAGACTCGGACCCAAGTCTCTCAGTCTGGCCGCTTGCCAGACGGACCTCTGTCGTTTAGGCCCACAGGACACTGTAAGTATCGAGTTTGAAATTGCGTGACATTTTTGGCGTGACCCTGGCGTGATTTGTGTCACCACGGAAATTCGTGAGACCGGTCCCAGGGCTTCGCGTCTGGTGGGCAATTTTTCCGACCAAAACACGGAATCCTGCGTTCATCCTCCTTTCTATGGGAACCTGGGGCCTGGTTTCCAGGTTTTGTGGTTTCACTGCTGCTCAGTGTGTCTGAGCCGGTGCTGCTATCTTGAATTTTCAATTCACCTCCTAATTGGTCTGATTTTTCAAGGTGCCCTCTTGGATTTAGAGAACAATAGAATCCATTGTTCTCGAAACAATAGCCTATTGTCTTTTTCGGCTCCTGATTGGTTACCGCTCACATGAGCCACCTATACTACTTTCTCCCGCATCTTCAAGTTCCTCTATTAATCAACTTCCCCTTGTTTCCTCTTGAAATAAGGACAACAACAACTTTGTGTGACTGAGAATGGGGAAGTGGGTGACAGAGTGCTCAGTAAATGATTTGGCCCCTTGAAGCCCTGGAGGGTGAAGAAAAACAAAACCTACAGTCCAAGGGGATGCAGACTGTGGGTAAAGAGGAGGGAGTGGGCCTTCTCTCAGGGCCACCGTGGGCATTCCTGGGTAGAGAGGAGGGAGTAAAGGGCCTCCTCTCTGATTGGAGGGAGTGGGCCTCCACTAGCCTAACTTCAGAGGGTAGAGACGGAGCTCCTCTAGTAATGAGGGTTCTATCTTCAAAATTTCACTCTTTTTGTTGCTAGCCACTTGATTAATGGCACAATGGAAGACTAGCTTAGCATTTTTAATCTTGTCTTGTTCTTTCTCTGACACTCGCCACGTTTCAAAATGCTTCTCTTTAATAGCTATTGTGTATTTCACCTTCTGACCTGAGCACTCATTTCCCCTTGTAACAAAGGAAACATGCACATTCATCTAGCATTGGACTTAAATGTTTTGCTTTCATTGCAGTACCTTATATGATTCATTCTTACTGCTGAATAACAGTTTAAGGGGAAATGGATACAGACTTCCACAGGTACTTTAATACTCTTCAACACCTTAACAGTATCAAGAAGAGACTTAACACTTAACAAAAAAGTCACAAATTGTAGTAAGAATTAAAAATGAATAATCCGTAAACAATAATGGTATCATGCCTACTTTATGGTCAGCCAAGACTATTCAGACAGACGCTCTCAAGAAATTGTAAACCTCTGAGCTCTTAGTGCAAATGGAATACAGGTCCAGTGTCTTTTAGTCTTAGGAAAAAAAACTGTATACGTATCAGTCACAGTGTGCCCTTGGCTGTATGAACGTGGTAATAGAATGGTTTCGTGTGAGGCGTGTAGAACGTTCTTAATAAACAAGTATAGGCGATGCAATACTGCCACATTCCGCTAGACCGAATTTTCTCGAATAATGAACCGTTCTCTCACTCAATTGTTCCAGAGAGAATGATTATTGTATTTCAAAACACAAGAATTCTAGTTGTAATGAAATCTCTCTGTGCCTGCCTCACTCTTATCTACTTGCCCCTGTCTGTAAGGGTCCCACACAGCTGATACGTATTCTAAACGTAGCCATACGAGTGTGGTATAAGCTACCTGTTTAGTGACTTTAGAGCAGCAATATAAGTTTCTTTTTACAAAACCAACGACGGAGTTAGCTTTTGTGACAATACGTGTTTGCTCCAATCTAGATCATCAGACAAAACACCCATATAGGGATGCCTATAAACAATTAAGAGGTTTTTGATTAAATAGGGAGTAATCTTTCAATAGTTGCAATCTGTTTCCGTAAACAGACATTTTGTAGCATTCGAAGGACTCAACTTGTACTCAGTTCTTTGTGGTGTTGTCTGACTGTTGATGCGCATGTCTTCTAAACCGAATTCTCCTGTTTTGGAACCAGACCTTGACATGTTTTTCTGTCAGATACAGTGCAGCAGCCAATTTTCTGCGCTCCTCTCCAGCCACGTACTGCTGTCTGGTGAATGTGCTCTCTAATCGCTCTAGCTGCGCAGGCGTGAAAATGGTTCGTGACCTCTTGCTAGATTTCCGCCCGTTTTTCTTGTTCTCATCTTGTTTGATGTCTGGCTCTATAGTGGCAGCAATCGTTTGATTCAGTTTTAATTACGTTTTAACTTTGTTTTCTTAAATGATCTACAACAATTTTGCACCACAACGTTTTTCTCAGTGATTATGAGAGGAAATTGTAATTTCAGTAGTGTAGAGCAAGTTGCTGATAAGGGAATATTTTGAGAGACTGAGAAATGAAGGTCGAAGGAGAAGGAGAACAAATCTCTCAATAAGGCTGATTTACATGATTTCTATTCTGTCTGCGATAGTCGGTTGGAACTAAGGGCTTAAAGGAATTCTCAGGGATTCGGAAACTTTTTCTTTAGTATAACTGTGTTTAAAACTATTTTGTTTTAGTATAAATCTACTAGCGTTCTGTGGGAGGCGCGGTGGCCTCATGGTTAGTGCGCTCGTCTCCGGATCGAGCGGTCTGGATTCGAGCCCTGGCCGGGGACATTGTGTTGTGTTCTTGGGCAAGACACTTTACTCTNTAAATGGGTACCGGCGAACTTAATGCTGGGGGTAACCCTGCGATGGACTCGCATCCAATCCAGGGGGGAGTAGAAATACTCTTAGTCGCTTCATGCTACAGAAACAGGGATAAGCTCCGGCCTGGTGGGCCACTTGGCTCGTATGCAGACTTTTTACCTACTAGCGTTCTATCACGAATGCCGTTCTCTGATTAGCTACGCTACTCACTATCTGTTCCGTAATAGATAGTGAGCAGCGTAGCAGTGTGCCCTTGTTGACAAAATTACGGCAGCTTCTTGGCGTTTTCGAAGTGTCTAAAAAAAGGATTTGAACGACTAGTAGATTTATACTAAAACAATTAGATTATTCGCTCTCGATTTCTATACGTGATAGAAATCTCAAGCTTATAATCTAATCGTTTATTAGTAGAATTCTACTAGTATACTAATGCAAATGCTGTAATCTGATTGGCTGAGCCATTGAACACTATCGGCCATTAGTGTGCAGTGGCTGGAGGTCGTCTAGGAAATGATGACGTTTTTTCGTTCTTCCGAAGTTTTGGAGGAAAATTTCGATACAAATGGATAATTAAATTCCCGACAAGTCTAAAGGAAGGACATTTACGGTTTCTTGACTTTTAAAAAAGTTGAAATTATTGAAAAAACTGATGCGCGCGAGCACACAACTTCAATTTTAAATGACAAGTCAATCCGAGCGATCTTTTTCAGGCGCAAAGTTTAATAGTACGTCAAGAAAATAATTGAAAACCCTTATTTGAAGTAAATTTCAGTTAGAATTCTACTAAAACAATTAGATTATTCGCTCTCGATTTCTATGAGGTGATAGTTGAATAGGCCGATTATCACCTCATAGAAATCTGGAGCTCATAATCTAATTGTTAATTAGTATCACCGAACTAGTGGACTAATGCAAATCCTGCATTTTAATTGGAGGATTTCCTGCATTTTAATTAGGACTATTAGTAATAGTCCTCGAGTAGCGAAATTGGCGCAATCGAGCGTGAGCGTGACGCTTTGTTTCGTTTTATTCTCAAAAAAATATTTTTTTAAACTTGCATTTACTAACTTTATCATTGCCTTTTCTGTCCGACTAGTCGGGTGATACTAAAAGAATGAGACCCTTGGCCCGTAAGGGCTACGGGTCTAATTGTTTAGTTGATAGTGAGTAGCGTAGCAGCGTGCGCTTGTTAACAAAATGACGGCCGCTTCTTTGCGTTTTCGAGGTGTCTGCTAAGAGCATGAAGATAACGTTTTGAACGGCTAGTAGATTTATACTAAAACAATTAGATTATTCGCTCTTGATTTCTATCCGGGCTACGCCCTCGTCAACTATCACGAGGTACGTCAGAAATTTCAAGCCGTTCCGCGTGAATAGAAATCGTTCTCGAACCCGTAGAGATATAATAAATATCTTACCAACCTCATCTTCTCGGTCCGTATTCTAAGTTACGGATCCTCGTTTTTCCCCTTCGATTTATGGCCCTCGCGCTTCGCAGAAAAAAAAACTTACATTACAGCCCTCGAACTCGGTTAGTAAGAGGTATAAACCAAACTTTGACAGTTGTAAACAGTCTTGTGTAATATACGCGTTAAGTCATCAATTGTTGCGCTAAAAGTTAATGGTGTATTTATGACAATTTTACGGACATACCTTTATCTGCTTGCCAGTTAACAGCGCATACTCCCTGATGACAGCAATGATGATGAGGAAATGGGACTGAACGATCAAAAGAACCAACATCTCCAGTCAGCAGCAGTTGACCATAAGAAGGAAAGGATTGTGCCTGGGGAGGAGAGTTCGACGATGAAGACAAAATGGCGCGGATCGAGAAAGAGCTGGAAAACTGAGGACTTCTTCCATGTTCATCAAATTGGAGATATTCCACCGGGGATTGCGCTGAATTTACAGAGGAAGACGGATTCGAGATTGACGACGAATTCACAGACGTAGTTGGAAAAGAGGAGAGCATCTTTGGTGCGCTTTTATCAGCTCTTACGATGGGAAAAAGCATTAAGCGTAATGCCCTCGGCTCCTAAAACCTCGCGTTTTAATCATCGTTTTCTAGTAGACATTTGTTATCTCTCACAGGAAACTTGTTGACTAGCACGCCATGGCGTGGTATTAGTTTTAAATTAAGGCAATCGATAGCATAATTTTGTCCTTAGTTTGTCGAATGTTGTTCTGTGTTTCTTGTTAGTCTCACCGTTTGTAAGCCGGCTCTTTTGTTTATTTTGAAATTGACTCTGAGAAAAATATAAAGCAGGTGTAAATGTCTCAGGACTATTGTTACTGTTTTTGTGTTTAAATGGCCAATATGATTCGTACTAAATGCGACTCAATAATTAAACCGGAACATTAACAATAATAACCCAAATGCTGCACAAAAAAGGTTCCATTAATTGTATAACTACGGTACAGATTAAGACACTTAAAAACAAAACAGGCGATTAAAAAATTACAATCGTCGAGTAATACACGAGTAATATTAGAGTCAGGTTAACAAGCGCCGCATTCGGCAAATCTTCGTGAAGTTTTCCGAAGAATTCCGATATTATTTAGTGTTCGATCATGAATGGCATTAGTGTTCTCGAAGTCACAAATCATCTTGCGCCCTCTGCATACGTAAGCTCAGTGCTGAGTGCTTGTCCTTTGGTAATTGAAATTGCTATTTCTCAGGTAAAAACGTTATTAAACTTGCCTGCATGAGGCCTCGAAATATTAGTGTCCCGTTCTGAAAAATTGAGTAAGTGTCTTCAGTTGAAACCTTATTTTACTCGTCAAACTTATGTTCTCGTTTCTTTTTTCGAGTGTTCAACCAGTTTTGTTGTAAATGTTAATGGCTTTCATACGAAACAAACGTAAATGTGAGTTTCCCGTGCTGATCAATCACACGACCAGCAGTTGTTATTTAATTGGTACTAATTGGGGGTTTTATGATTTCTTCTCTTGTGTTAGTGGGAACACGCGATATTTCATTTACTTTTATTTTTCACTTCATGATTTATTTAATTTTTTGTACTTCATGATTTATTTACATTATCTAGAAGTAATATTCGTAAATCCTTTACAGAAAAGGCAGTCACTGAAGTACAATAGATAGGCTCATTACTACTTTTGTTGTTCCATTTTATATTACGTAATGTTACAATTATTCAGAAAACGCGACCTGACTTGAAACGATTAGTATTCGAAGCTCTGACGTGCTGTTAATAGCTGCTGGAATAAGACTTAGAAGTCTCCGCGGGTAGTCCGAAACCTATCACATCTATCAAAGGCACAGCTTTTCTTGTATTAAATATGGTTGTAAGATTAGATCAGGAACTCGTAAGGGATTTTGCACGACGTTAAGTACCTCTTTCCTTTCCTCTCGACAATATGACACTGGTCATGCATTATCTTCGGAATACATGATCAGAGGAAAAGATATATCAGCTCATTTTCTTGTTATGCTAACGTTGCCACTTTTGTTTGAATTCAGGTAATTTGTCCCAGAAAACTGGTGGCATGAAATAAATGAGAGCGAACCTTAAATTTATTGAAAATAAATAAAACAATCGGTAAAGTAGAATCCATATGACACATTACACCCCCCTTATGAGTTTCTGATTAAAGCTATTGTCTTTATACTTTAAGCTATTTCAATGACTATGTAACATATTATTTATAGCACGTTATTAGCCACAACAAGAAGGCGTCCCATCAAGTAATATTGCTATATTATAATATTTGGAAATATTCATTTTAAAACTTAAGCTTAATGCTATGGAATAGAACAGTGACCCCTTGGTACTTTACGCTAGGCATCTTAAAGACTTTAAAAGTGTAGCAGCTCTCGTAAGCTGCCGTTGTTTCATTATTGTAGCAGCTGTCATTGTTTTAGGGCTAGGGGCATTGTTTCTGTTGTTTGATCTATTGTTCCCTTAAAGTGTATAGAGCCATTCATTGGAGACATCACAAGAACTGCTGTGACATGACCCAAAGATTTTCTGCAGTCAATATGCAACAAAATTAATTTGTTTAAAAACGATGGTCGCGCCCTTCTAGCCTCCACCTTGGTAGTTATTGATCAGAACACCTAAGTGGAACCAGTACTGAACACATTTCTTTTCATATCCTGGTGCAACCATGCAAACCTCGCGAAATTGCTGTCTCTATATTACAAGTAAAGTATTCATTAATAACTTTAATTTAGAATATCTGAAAAGAGTAAAAGACTTAAAATGAAACCAATTCGACTGTACCAAAGCAACTTTGGTCTGTAATCGTACATGTGATGAAACAAGTCGGACTCGACGTCTGGACCCATACAGATGTTCAAAAAGTGGATATATCTTCCGGATAAATCACTATCCAGCGGATAGCGCGGTTTGTTTTGTCAACACTTATTCGCTGGATAGCCATTTATCCAGTGGATAGCGTTTTCCACCCTTTGAACAACTGCGGCCTACTAGTTTTTGTAGCTCCCTTCGGCGTATCACTGAAAATGATGATGATAAGTCCGATTTTGTTAATGGCTTGTATGATTACTGAACCAATGGGATTTCATACGGTCCTTTCAACATTACTACACAATCGCCAGGATCCCTCAATTCAGACCAAGCGCGTCACGCAAGGTAGTGAAGACAGAGAAAATCAGTTAATTTAAAAAGATTGTCGAGTTAAAGGATTGCGACCAACGTCTATTAACCTCCAGCCGTCAGTCCCTGGATACAAACTGCTAACAAAACCAAAACTTCCTTGCTGAGCCGGCCTGATTGCCCCTCCCTCCCCCCCTCCACCCCCCTTTCCAAGAACTCTTAGCCCTGGTAGTAAGTTTACCACTTGCATCACGTGACCCATCCTTGTAGATCGAAAGATTTTCATTGCTTGGAATGTGTACTCAAATTACGCCTCCTTTCCGTTCCAATAACTTCGAGTGGGGAATTTCTGTAACTGCACTTTTGTTGGCAGCTCTGTTTTACAGTGGGAAAACAGCGCTACAGTTATAATCACACCACACTGCTTTTCACTTTGTGTTGAACTGATATACTCTCAGTGCCAGAATGAGTCCTGTCCGTAATCGGGGACAACTGACCACTTCCAACCCGAGCTCCCTTGACAGTCAATAGTACTTTGAAGGCTCTGGTGAAACTGGGCATGCGCCATGCATAGAGAAACTGATTGGCTGAACAGTTGACAAGAGCCATTAAAAACTGAAAATCCCGCAGCCAATGAATGACGTCACAGGCACATACGTCACAGAACAGAATGACGTAAATCATGACACAGGAAGAAACATTGCAACAAATGAAAACGAAGAGGACAAAAATGAAAGATCTGGTGGCTTTCTTCTCGTATTTTAATCTCCGCTCCATCATTCGATCGCCGCGTGTCGTTTCACCATGCTCGATATGGGTGTGCAGGCTTTGGTAGATTCGAATATAGGCAAAAGTTATGATGACAAGTGTAGCGATCACAGTCGTGTTGGCAAACACGAAGACAAAAGTGTAGAAACCGGTTGCAAAGTAAATAAACGAAGCAGCAATAGAAAACATCCATATGCCAACGGATGTCCAAACTGCTCTTGATCGCGAGTACGTTCTTCTGTAAGTTGAAGTAACAGTGAGATATCTTTCAGTGGCCAGGGCCGCTATACTGAGCATTGATGCAGTACAAGTGATGAAATAAGGAACATGAACGATCCCGACGCGGTTCATGACCTCATACCTTAAAGCTTCTCTGACATGAAACACGACAAATGAAGGCTCCGTGATAACACCAGTGATGAGATCAGCGATGGCAAGGTTAAGGACCAAGTAGTTGAATGACGATCTGAGTTCTTTGTTAGGGTCTTTAACGATGGCCCAGCATATTAAGATGTTCCCTGGTACTGTCACAACTAACAAGATCACTGACAAGGTTGCGGTTGTCACTGATAACTCAAATGGTGCTCTCTCACCTTCACACAGAGAGCTTCCAAACGACATTGTTGTCAGCGACGACTTCAACCTCCACGCTCAGCTCGTATCCTCCGTCAGTAACGATGTCTACTTCTCTGACTTTCAGCTGTATCAAATACTCTCAAATACTTTCCTAGATAACGTCACGTTTTAAGTGATACTCAATTCATGTCCAGCGAAGTGACGAGATCAGGCTAAAGGTCTTGAAAAGACGTGAATAACATCATCAATCGTCGAAAACTTCCTACAAATTAAGCAAAACTGGTTAACAAAATCTGGGCGCTTTTAATCAATTTTTGCCACAGGAAAATGTCAAAACAATGTCAAAGTAACAAATGAAAACCGAACAAGGTTTAAAACATCTCGTCAATTGCTGGCAAACACAATAAAAACTGGAGACACCGTAGAAAGACAATTAATCTTTTTTAAGAACAATTTAAATTTTCCGTCGGAAGAAAGCAAATTTGAAAAGTTATTTCTCGAAGGAAAATTGAGATGTTTTAGTTTCAGTTTTCGAGCAAATAACATCAGTATATTTACTCTGTCTGTTTACGACTAAACAAACCTAGACATGTCAGTTATCGTTTACATACCATATTTACATGTTATTTTTGGAAGAGTGGAAAATATGAGAACATACAGGTGATTTTCAATATCGAGGTCCGATGCTGTGAACTAGATGTGAATACCATTCAACTTGTCCTGCTTGTCGAACATTACAAACAGTGTGATTCCAAGAACCCTTTGTTATGTGCAAGATGTTATTGGCGAAAGTCAGTTTGTATTCTAATAAGCGGTAACAAACTCAATTACCGGTCCACTTATTACATTTATTAAAACCAAAAATTTCTTGTCGGTTTCTTTTGTAACCGACTAATCAAGAGTAGGAAGTGGGACATGGCCTCATCTTAACAGCTGAAACCAGAACAATGACGTAAAGTAATTGACATTTGGCACATAGCACTGTTATTACAAGACATGGATAAAAGCCAAAATATACCTACTGAGCTAATGGGGTTTGTTCTTTGTTAAAACTGAGGATTTTCTCGTAAGAGCTATGGCGGAAAACCTGAACTGGAAACTACTTCCTTAAAAGTTCGGGTACAAAACTACGTGCTCTCGAGAAAAAACAAATGTATGATTATAACAATTTCTTATTTGTCTGTAAAGTTATGATTGTCATAATTTCGCTGTATGCATTTGCATGCGGTTAGGTCCACTCAGGTTTGCTTGCGGTTAGTTCTACTCAGGTTTGCTTCCGGTTAATTCCACTCGGACAGTTCCACTCAAGTTTGCTTCTGGTTAGTTCCACTCAGGTTTGCTTGCGGTTCGTTCCACTCAGGTGTGCCAGCGGTTCGTTTGCTTGTGGTTAGTTTCACTCAGGTTTGCTTGAGCATAAAAACAAAAATCTGTGTGGAATAACCTTCATGTAAAAATAAGTGTGTAATCTTGTGAAAATGTTGTACTGTAAGAGCAGTGTAACTACCATAATGTAAGTAATACAACGTGATGTAAGTAGGGTATTTCGCGCAAGTAGGTAATTTATGTAATAAAATGTAAGTAGTGCTTTTTGTGCGTGCGGAAATAAAAAAAAATGTGCAATCTGCTTTAGGTCCATGTTAACTAAGGTCTTCCGCAGACTTCTTGATGTGCAATATGCGTGCCGCGAAATTATGATTATCATAACTTAAGAGGCAAGTAAGAAATTGTGATAATCATAATTTCGGTCTCGAGATCACGTAGTACAAAACCATTGCTGTCCCTAGAGCCGCCCGTCCCTACTAGCCAGCGAAGCCTTGGCATGAGGAAAATTTGGCGCTGTAGACACATGACTTGAGTTGATTGGGAAGATTCTTGGACTAAGATTTTCATTAACTTTTAATTCAAAGTAGTTTTCTTTTCCGAACATAGATAGAGGCACTTTGAAAACGCCAAGAAGCGGCCGTCAATACGTTAACAAGCGCACACTACTACGCTGCTCACAATCTATGTTATAATAACCATTGGTAACACTTTCCAGTTGTTCCAGCTTAGTCCAGTTTGCTGTGCTTCAGCCTCAAATCTCATCACACTAGTCGAGAATATTTTCAGTCAAGCAAAAGATAAGCAAATTATTCTTTCTTACAATCGTCAGCATAACGAAAGAAAGGCAATGTGATATTTCCACATGCCAGCAAAATGAATGTATATTTGTTCCATTTACTTGAACTTTAAAATTAGGGAGTGAAAAGCCCGGCGTTCCTTTTTTAAACTATCCACAAAACTGTGTATTGAATTAGTAGCGCGCTCACTGAATACATACATACATACATACATACATACATACATACATCAAGATGCATCTTAATGCGAAAGAAGACATGACCAGACCTGAATCTGAGTTTACTCAGAGCAATGGCCGAATTTCTTTACCATTTTTTTTTCAAAGATCTTCCTAGTTTTCTAGTTTGTGAAAAAAAATCAGTATTTTTTACTTCTTTCACCTGAGGTTCACAAAATTGTTTGGTTATGTGTCCATTTGATACTATCTCCACTTCTACCTGCTAGCTTCTCGCTATTTCGTTCAGTTCGAGTCCATCATTTTAAAACGCAGGCGTTTAATTTTATAATTCGCGTGCGATGGCAAGCTTTCCATCCTCGTTGTTTTCTTAGCACCTTTCTCCTCGTTTTCGTCTGCAATTTTCTTCACCCAATAGGATTGTCTCGAGCGAGTGGCTTGCAAAACAGAGGTCTTGAATAACAATGAAAACGCTCTGCGAAAATTCCTCATTCTCATAGAGTAAAGCAAATGATTGGTGGCTGAAATCACCATTGGCAAAATAAAGTAAACATCACGCAAAGTGTTAATGACGTCACAAGAGCACGTAGTACAGAAACCTATGACATATGTAATGATGCATGATGGGAACACAGCGGAGCAGAAAAGCGTCAACATCATCATGAAAGATCTGGTGATTTGCCTCTCCGTCGCTAGGGCTCTTCGTTTTATGTCATTATTGTGTGCTGAATCCCAATGCCGCACGTGATCTTGCATTGTCTTTGCAATACGTTTGTGAGAAATAACGAGAATAACAAAAACTACCAGCGTTGCCGTATTAGCGAATACAAACAAGAACACGTAAAATTCTACCACAAGGTAAATCAAGGGAACGCTGAACGACACGCACCAAATAACAGCAGAGGTCAGATATCCGTGCCTTTGCTTGAGCCTTCGGTGAAAAGGTGACGTAATCGTCAGGCAGCGGTCCACTGTCAAGGCTGACAGGCTCAGAAGTGAGGCCGTAAGTGACATGAAATACGTCAAGTGAAATATCCAGAGCACCTGCAACTTTTGTCCTTTTACGGCTTTCTTGATGTGATAAATGATAAAGGCAGGCTCGGTTACACAGCCAACGATCAAATCAGCGGCAGCCAAGTTGATTACAAAATAGTTGAAAGGCGTTCGTAAGTCTTTGTAAGGATCTTTAATGATCGCAATGCACGTCAGCAGATTACCTGGTACAGTTATGATGCACAGAACACTGCTAATAGCAACAGAAGACCATGAAATGTACCGAGGAATATCCTCCTCATGGCAGCCCTCCGAAAACGGCATATCTGTTTCAAAATTTACAAGTAAAATTATTCTGCAGAATACAAATACTGACTTCCTCGAGGTGAACTCCGCTTGTTTAATTACTTTTAATAGTGTAACTGGAGTTGCCAAGTTGTCGACTGCACTGGGTTATCACTCCGGGAAATTGTACTGTTAATACTGGTTTTAATGTGCTATTTATCAGCATAACCGTTTCAGTAGTTTCCATGCAGTGTACCGTCCAACTCTAAAGTGCTGGCGTTTTATGCACTAAACCATCTTATGGAAGAAATGGCGAGCTTGGCAGTCTTCTGATGACTGACAAATGATTCGACATTTATGCTTTTGATCAGCCTCGCACCTGTTAATATTTCAGCATTAAGATATGTAGAATAGATTTTGATGTAAGGAGAGCGTCTTTGGAGATCTGTTTCACTTTGAGCTACGGTGTAAGAAACACATTAAACCGCAAATCACACACTGTATGAAAGCCGCTTATTGAAGTCGAGAAACTTTATATTGTACACCAAGTGTGAAAGATCTAGAAAACAATATAATCTGAAGGAAACAAAACATATAAGATAAACAAAACTGAAAGCTTTTGCCGACCACTTTGCAAATAGTCTGAGCTTAATTTCCGCTCAATTTGCGTTGGTATTTGATTTATTTTAAAGAGGAGCGCTAACAGTTTCAGCTTATAATGCCGCTACTAAAGACAGGTCATTTCCTAGGGAGCACTTTGTCTGAAAAAAATTGAAACTTGATCTATTATGGCTTAATTGGTGGAATTTGCAAATGCGATAATAGTTGCATTGAACGTATAATACAGACTAATTTTAGTCAAATCGGCCGGGAGCGATGAGAGGTTGCAGTATTCGCAAGCTAATTTGCTTTATAATTAAACATTACGCTATTGCAGGTTGAAGTTAGCGAAATTTTCTAGATTACGTTACGAGATGTCGCGAGATCACGTAACGCCCTGACTAGACGTCACGATGTTCTAAAACAGCCCATGAAATTTCTTGTAAATTTCTTGTATCAGTAAAGAACGTCAAAATCACTGGCGCAGTGGTTGCATTTTTTGAATGGAAATTTCTAGACACGAGGAAGAAATTGAAAGGGCGGTACGGGCAATTTGATGAAGACTGCAAAAATTCACTTTGTTCATAACAGATCTTTCGGCATCTTCAAAAACTTCAAAGAAAACCGGAACCGTTTCATACAAAGATACCACGCGACTAATTTGGCGGGAAGTGTGCATATACCTCAGCACGTAGTATGCTCAGCAGAAACAAGAGCAAACTATACTCTCGAATCAAACATATAAATTGTATAAGGTAACATTGGGTTTGTTTTAAAGTTTTGTTGAACTTTGTTATTACTGTATTCAAACAGTTTAATTAGAAGCCCTTAGCTTCTTATCAAACTTATGAAGATTAAGTTGTGTAAGCTTTATTTACATCAGCCGGAAAAGTCGGCAATCGTTTGTGCAGTGAAAATGTTTAATAAAATAGTAGAGAGACATAGTGGCACCAAATATGAGCCTAGCTACTGGTAATTAGCGCATAAGAACTGAATATGGAAAGAAGAAAGAAAATTTGGTTCTTAGTATGAAAAGTGTAATCTATTACCGTATTCTATTACTTACTTCTTAAACTGCCGATCACAGCAAGGTTACAAAAGGATATCTGTATGGTCAGATGAATATAGTTTTCCACTAATCTTAGAACGTATTCTCGCGGCTACACGTTCAGCTAAACTCAGTGGTATCCCTTAATACTGCATTGACAGATCTTGACTCTTGACTTAACCAGGATGTTACTAAGCTTAACATCCAGGTGATTTTCAACCCACACAATTTAAATACATTCGTTAGAAGTTTGTTTTCTATTCCATAGCACTTCAGACTCTTTAAATCTACTCACGAGAATCACAAATTAAATAATATCTGTAGGACCTCAGAGCTGTTCTTGAATGTCTGCTAATGATTCCCTCCCCAGCCATTCCCAGTAAACATTTTTAAAAGTGACAAACTAGCTAATGAAAATACTTCACTTAATATGTATCAGCCTTGTAAGGCTACCAAGTGAAGATACAAGTCCCTAAATTAAGTGATTTTTGAGACTATATAGTTAAATTTCGGCAGTTCAGGAGCCTTCTCTTTTTAGAAACGCGGAAGGCGACAGTATGGGAATCACAAATTTACGGCCAGTTTTCTTTTTGTTCATGGAACTATGCGAACATCAGGTTTTTGCCCGGGGTTTTGCTTTGTTTGGTGCGATGAGGAATATTCAGCACTCTTAGCAGAAAAACATGTACAAACAAGAGATGAATTAAAATACTTACTTAACCCCAAGGAGCGCGACTTCCCCGCAAACAAGAACGTGAGTAAGTTCGGTTAAATCGATCTCGGAAGCTATACTGACGGATGAGGACTTTATATTCGTATAAGCTCAAGGTGTCTTTGATTTCTGAGGCAAAATTGACTGGGCCTTCGTGTTACTGGTCGACATAATAAATTGACTAACAGATGGTGTATATATGCAACTGTTGATTGCTTTCATATTCAGGGACACTTTAGGTGAAAGTGGGGGAAATGTCACTTGTCTTACCTACTGTGGTGCTCGATGTGTCACGTTTTCGTTGTGTTTTGGCTCAAGACAGATTAAAAGGTGAATTTATTTTCACTGGGTGTTCCTGTTATGACCGGCGAGTGGCCTCTTTCTTTTTAAAGGTAAATTCGGTTTTCCTCCTGCAGTCTTCTAGCCCAATTGCTGTTGTATTTGTATTCACGTCTGCTTTTAGCCTGCGAACAGGTCCCCAGCGAGGGCGGAAAAAATATTCGGCGAGCGAAGCGAGCTGTTTAGCGTGAAATAAGGAATCCGCGAGCGAAGAGCACTAGTGGGAGGGGGGACGCTTTCTCTCGTCACCAGAGCGCTTTCGGCTCACCCCGCTCATCGTAGACCACAAAAAAACCACACTCGGCTAGCTCGCACTAAACCCAACCGGGAGCCTGTTCACAGACTAATCTGCTTTTAGATCAACTAGCCCTTAAAAGCACAGAGTTCTTATGGCGTGAAAAGTAACATCATTACAACTTCCTATATTTGTTTTGCCTGCTTAGGAAAGTCAAATTAAATTTTGAAATACCATTACCAATAAAGCGTTCCTAGCAATATGTACTCTAAATATTTTAGTATTAGTTTAATTCACCGTTTCTTCCTTAAACTGAGAGAACTTCGAAATAGATACCTTATAAGTGCTTGCCCTGATTTTCGCAGACAGTGGTTTACCCGAACGACCTGCGAAAAAAAAAAGGTTACCGCGAACATTAATGACTAAAATTTTAATACCTTGCTGTATCAAAGATTCGCCGTGTTCATACCCGTTTTTTTCCTGTTTCGCTTAACGGAGAAAAGGCATGATCACTAGCCTGCGTAGCAGCCGTTTCCTTTACTTTTCCAGGCGGAGAGATCGAACAAGCGAGCAAGCAAGCGGGCGAGCGAAAAAGCGCGCCTGGGGTGAGCAAAAAATTGGGGAGAAGTGGGGAGGGGATGAGCGAGAAGGTTCACTCACTTGCAGTTTCGTTCCCTCCGCGAGGTTTTTTGGAAACGCCTGTTACGCAGGTTACATGATCATAAACGCTGACCTATGTCTATGACGCTGTCCTTTGTCGCTGACAAACATTTCAACCTGTTTCAAATTTTGAGTTGTTGAGGTTCTGTTCAATGTTGTAAGTTATAGTCAACTATGACCTCAAAATGTGTTGCGTTGATTTTAAGACTGGTCTTCTGTTAACACGGAGCAGTAGTTCGTAAATTAGCGAGAAATTTGCTGGTCCCTTTCAACATGATTTTTATGCCAAATCCCGAAATTAAAGTTGGCAAAATTTGCCTCGTCCATTTTTGCGAAATTAAGTTCTCGCGTTATCATAAGATGTTAACTCTGTGTTTCTTGATGAACTTGAGGCAGGGACTTAAATTTCCCTAAAACGCTTAAGCTTATTACAACTAAAGTCAAACTCAGATTCATGATTATGAATAAGACGTAATAAAAGAGAATATCCGTGGAAGAAGAGGATAATATCAATCATATATCCAGCGCCATTGTTAGTCCTTGTTCATCTTGACATAAGAGCTCTATGGACGGAAGTGTCAAGTAGTTGGTTTCCGTAAAGTGTAACTCATCGTAATGGCAAATAACTTGTGCGTTTTCTTTTCTATTCCTTTTTTATTTCACATTAAAGAGTAAATTTGATTTACTTAACTCGAGTGCCTCCTCGAAATGGCGAATATTTTGTTTTGCAATGAATTCTGCTATATCCTTTCAACGATTGTAACAAAAAATTATTTTTCATTTAATCGCAAAATTCATTGATTGTACTCACCGGATATTTATGCCAGCACTGCAGTTCACTCGTTTCGTGTTCCAGGCGTATCAATTCAGCTACGTGGCTGTCGACTGTGTCTTAAGACAATTGTAAAGGTCTTTTTAAAGAGGAGTGATCACATTGTCACTCAAGCCACTCAATCACGTTGAAGGCTAAATGTAAAAAAAGGAAAAAAAGACCGCGTATTGCTTTTGCTGAAGAAATCTGCACTACTAGTCTTCTTGTTGCGTGTGAAAAAAAAAGGGGCAAGACCTGGAAACTACACGCTGGTCATCACATGTTCCTAACCGAGAGCTGACTGTGAATGATCCTCTAATCGCCAGAATTTTAAAAAAGAAATTTTAAAAAAGGAATCACAACACCTAGTTTGAGCTTTTGAGTTTTCTTGTCACCTGCGGAGTATCTGACTGACCGTGTTTGTACTTCATGATAAGAAGTCGTTTTTAATCGACTGAAAATTAAAACATATGAATATTATGTTTATTTGAATTCATCATGACAAATTCCTGTTGTTAGTCTTTATCGTCTATCTTAATTCTTCACGCCTCAAGGTTTACTGTCAGAATATTTTCATAAATTTGAATTGAATCAGTTACTTTTGCCGGTGAAAGAGCCCAGGGGTCTTCATATAGTCCAGTTTAAATTATTCAGTGCATTAGATGTAATTGTCAGAAAATATGTGGGTTTTTGGCTTTCTCTTTCATTACTGTTTTCTTTTAAATCTTTCTTGTTTTATATGTTTCTGCTTCCTCTGACAGATAAGATTTTAGTTTTTAACCAAAAAAGCCACCAGATGCTTTAAAACAATTTGCCATTGAGGAAAGTCTTGTATTTATTTAAAAAAGCTAGATGTGAAGCTTGACACCTGTGGTCCCTTCGGGTTTAATTTACTTTAAATTTCTGCGGTCTAAGCAAGCAAAAAGATTGCCTGCGTAGCTGGCTGTCTTCGACGCACGAAGAGGGTATAAATTATCAAGCTACGAGGCCCCCTCGCTTGCATGACAGAGTCTGCCAGCGTCGCCTACAGCACACTGCTGTTTTAAACACTTCTTAGCTTAGAGACTTGAATAAAGGAATGCTTCTAGTTGACCTAACTTTTAATCACTCTTTAACGCTTTGGGCTTAAAGGTGATTAAACACGCGAGATCAATCTATCAGGTTTTCCTGCATCGAGTACCTTAGAGCAAATTAAAAACGTTTTGTCCCTGCTTCAACAATTTTTAAATACACCTCTTAAAATTTCTTATGTGTTTCAACCCCTTCAGTGAAAAAACTTTGAAATTCAACTTTCAGATTTTAAATTTTGTATCCGCTCAAATCTTCTGTACACAGAATGGTCGTTTCCTTCCGATAAAACTACAAGGTCATGTCCAGACCTGTTTCAGTTCCTTGCTGACATTTTAGGCTAGAACTCTTTATTTTTGAGCGATATTTTGGCAGCACCAGGGGCACACACATCCCATATCCCCCCTCCCACCCCCCGACAGCATGGCTTCTTATATTGGCGTGGCTACCAAGGTCCATCTAAACAACATGGCCAATGGCGGGAGTTAACTGTATACAGGTGGCCGGATTCAACTATTAAGCGCCGCCAATTCTCCTCGGAATGCAGAATGATAAGTGGAAATGGTACTATACAGCGGCAATTTCCTCTCTGGCAGGAATTTTATGCTATCTAAATTCTTTGTCAGCAGATTTCGTGTACGATGACAGGTGAGTGCGTGCACAGGCATGTTTTTTATAATCCGCGCGAGTCAGTAATTTTGGGTGACGGGTGGAATGTTGAGGTTTCACTGATTTCAATTGCTTTCTATTAGAAAATTAGCACTTTGGTCACGATACCAGCAATCGGCTCTACACTTTACAAAAGGAAGATGTTGATTGAATTGAAGACATTTCGTCTGAGCTTCCTTTATTTTCTCTGTTTCGTGTTTGAAATAAGCTTAACTTGAGCTTACATTTTCTAACGAGTGATCGTTTGCGGGCGTTCAGCTTAAAACCATTATGGCGACCCAAGGATCAAGTATTGCAAATATACTTGAATGAAAAAAAAAAATTATTCGAAGACTTCTTCGTCGTGGAAATCGTCGTTAAAGGAAAAAAATACAACTCGAAAACAACGCGCAGTCAAACTCAATAAGGCTGGCTATCCTCCAGAGATCTCGTGGCCCACCTGTGTTAGTTTATTTTTTTCGTTTAAGGAACAATTGTAATCTTCTCCAACAAAGACGATCTGAAACCGAATTTAAACAGTATTTGAATGAACGTCGCAGAAATGACTATTTATTTTGCGAAGCGTAAGATAGCATAGCAGAAAATTATGTATTGGAATAACTGTAAGGTTCTAATTACGCGTACTGTCCGCGTACTGTGTTTTGATTTCGACTTAAAACTGACAGAATTGTCAAAATATTACGTTTTTTTGGCAAAGGTATACTCGCAGTGGGAGTTTCGTGTTTGTTAATTATTAATGCCAATCATTTTGCATGGAGGAACGTAATTGAAGCTTTTCTGGTTTTAAAAGTTTGCAGCATAAAATCAACTTTGCAAAAAATAGTAAATATTTAGCCAAATTATCGTCAGATATATGCATGGTTATAAATGTGAATATTTATTGAAATATTTAAAGAAATTATTCACAACAAAAATGTAAAGGTGTCCTATCTTTCCTTTTCTTAATCACTTTTTTGTTTGTGATTTGTATCACGGTTTTATTGGTTATCAGCCTCAGTCCAAAGTGCGGAACATAACTTGAGAACCAAACATCCCTTATCATGTGCTCATTCAATCTCCTGCAAGAGAATTCTTTCATCTTAAGTAAAGAGCTCTATACTTGATGATAGCATAATGTGCCCAGACCCATGTCAAGTAGTGGGAATAATTGGTTTTACCATGGTGTAACCAATCTGACCAATCAGAGCTATTGGGAGCTGACAACAATATCATACCATTTTTAAGGCCTCTTAGCTGACCTGCTTTGTAATGCATTGTAGACTCTTTTTTCAAGCAAAGTAAATACTCCTAGTATGATCATTTTTGCCACTGCAAGAAAAATTAGGGCAAAATTGTTCTAATTCTGCAATTGTGACAGTGTTTTATTCTCTTAAACTCTAAACTGAGGGTATTTGTCACAAATCAAATACTTCTACAAGCCACCTATAAATGGAAACTTTGATAACTGTACTAATGAGGTTTTAGCCTAATTAAAAGCTGAGGAAAGCAGTGAATCAAAGGAAGAGTGGGCACTAACCAAAAGAAAGACTGGAAAAACATTTTTAAGGACAGATACTTAACAAGTTTATTTCAGAACAATTCACCACAAGGCTAGGACTCAAAACATTGAAAATTCTCATTGTTTTTAAACCGTAAAAATAAGGTCTAGATAGCGAAAATTAGTAAGAATAAAGTAGTCAGCAGGACAGCCTGATTGAAATGCTTAATAAATGGGCTACCAGCCTTTTTAGACCCTGGGATGGAATAGTAATCCATCCTGGTGGAGTAACAATACTCCTAATGCTTCATGTTACACAAATCATTGTCCTTTAATCAGTAGCTCCTTTGATTATTCTTTAGATTACTATTTTCATTCATCTCTTTGTGAAATTATTTTTTTGTTGTTGTTTTATAGCCGAGCCATCATTAAAAATTCTGATCTCCTGCCTACAACTCCATGGAGCAATGTACTTTTCAATGACTTTTGGGGCACCCCTCTGACTCACAGTGGAAGCCACAAGTCTTACAGACCCTTGTGTGTGGCAACATTCAGGATAAACTATTACATTGGTGCATTGAATCCATTTGGATACCACCTTGTGAATGTCTTACTACACAGTGCTGTTTGTTGGTTAGTTGTGGTGTTGTCATATGTGTTTCTACATGCACACTTCCCAAGTCTAGTGGCAGGGCTACTGTTTGCCGTACATCCCATTCATACAGGTAAGATATAAATAACCTAAAGGGCAAGACAATTCTATTCCTCTTAGATAGGAGTTCAAATTTTCCATCTGTTAGAACACCTTTCCCGTACTACACTTTCCTCTCCACTCCATGCAGCATGTATTTGACTAACAGGACAAAAATATTGTTTTCTCAGATTTCTATATAAATCGCAGTTGTGCACATTAATTTTATCTGGACTAAAATATCAGATGTTTTGCTGAGAATTTTTTTAATTAATGACGATAAATAAATTATTTAATTACCTATTTATATTTTCCTAAATGAATGTGTAGCAATGAACTTCACCTTCCAGTGTATCAGGTACCTCTTCTCAATTCAGCCATCCCTTGTTTGATATACAAAAAAGATCACAATACGCAGTGATAGTTCCCTGGGTGAATAAACCTTGTATCACAGACCATACGCTGTACGGGACAATTAAAACTAACATCTGAGACCTATCCATGAAATGTTATTTATGAGAAAAAATAATTGGTTACAGTGGCACTCTGAACCCTAGATCAGCTCCCACTACCTTGGAGACCTGTCTTTTACTTAAGAGAGAGATAATAAGCACTGAAAGTATGTGTAGCTAGTTTCCTGAAAAAAATCACCATCTAATTCACAATCTCAGCTGATGATACTCTGCTGGGCTATTAACTAGTGTAATTCTTGAGGAAAAGAAGACACAATCAGCCACCTGCCTCAACAATATAAAGCCTCCTAATTCAAGACGGTAACATTACCCTCAATACGTTTTAGGGATATATGATAAGAGGATATCCACTTCTTGTAGATATGTTTCAATAATGTTGTCATGCCTGATAACTTGTTATATTATATGTTTCCTAACAGAGGCTGTGACTGGAGTTGTTGGACGAGCTGATGTTGAAGCATGCTTCTTTTTCATTGCATCGTTTTTGGCATACATCAAGTCACACAAGGCACCTACAAACACTACTCTACATAAGCAGAACCGTAATCAGTGGCCATGGTTGTTGCTGTGTTTTGTAATGTGTGTTGCAAGCATGTTGAGCAAAGAACAAGGCATTACTGTTTTAGGGGTGTGTGCTGTTTATGAGGTTATCATCCTCTTCAGCTCTAACAAGAAACAGGCTGTGTTTGTCACCTTGACTAAGGTGAGTGGCACATGCTGTTAATGACAAATTTGGTGAAAAAGATACATTATTATTGGATAATGTGTACTAAAGGCATCCGCGGTCAAGTGTCAATCGATACACTCAATCGACCTGTGATCGGCACTTGATCAACATCTCAATTGATACTCGGTTGACACTAGATTGACACTTGATCAACTGTTGACCGATAGTTGGCTGAGTGTCGACCGACTAATATGCATTGATCGACATTTGATGGCATGTCTGCTAAAGTTAGTCAATAATATTGTCGACTGAGATGTCAATCAAGTGCTGATCAAGATGTCGATCAAGTGTTGATTGAGGGTCCATTGAGGGTATCAATCAACACTCCACCGCGGATGACTTTAATACACATGATCCTTAAATTATTTTGTCTTCTGCAATAAGTACTATCATGCTTCATTATTTTATTCAGTTTTGTGATACACATCTCAGACATAATCTGACATGTATAATAGGTCCTGCTTGATAAAAAGGTCAAGAATTATCACTTGAGATTAGGCATCGTCTTTTAGTTCCTAATTCACATCAATAAACCACTTTCGTTTATTAAACTTGCAGATCACATGTGAGATAATAGATGTAGCCCGTGGCTCTTAAAAATATTGCATTTTTGAGGGAATTAATTTTATCCAATGTCTCCTTCATACCCAGAGATTTCTTCAAAAGATTTCCAAAGTAATACCAAAGAGTTTCAATGGTTAATGAGGTAGATCCAAAGTTGTTTTAACAATTGGACCACTGGGTAAATGTACCTTTTAGACTTGATGCCAGTGGGAATTTTTTTCCTGTCTTTGTACATGTACATCTCTAACTATATTGTTTAAGACTCTTAATATAGTCACTTCGTATACACTAACATGTAATTTTAGAAGATTTGACTCTACATGTGCCTTAGTTACTAGTCAGAATTATGACTTGCTAACAAATTTTCTATCAGACATTGTAGACTGGCAGGGTTGTAGCTAAGAAAATAGTCTCCCGGCTAAGATTTTCATTGAGCCAGTCACCATTTTTCACGAGAGACCTGAAACATAATTTCATCCTCAATTTTTCACAATACCTTGAATGCGGGGCTATCAAGCTTTGTGTTTAGAAGATGGCGGACACAGTACACAGAAAGAGAACACACTAAACATGTGCTCAAAACAAGATTTTATTCCAATTAATTTACTCATTACAGTGGCACCGATACTCAAGGTAGTCAGAAATTTATTCCAAACTTTTCATTTACATGTAGACAGTTTGATATGACTCAGATATTGAATGATTGTATGTGCATAACCTAAAAACCGTTTGTTGTCCTTTCCTGCGTGACCTACCCGCCAAATTCCAGGCGGTGAATTTCGCTGGCAGCCGGCACTTAGTGACAACCCTTGACTGGTAGCAACACTGTACCAGGTATAATTTCAATAAGCTATCTCAGCTACAGTAGTTGTAGTGTACAACCTTATGGTATCATTTGTAATTTGTTTCTAGGCTCTCCAAAGTGGCTCTACCTTGCGTCTTTTTTTGGTGTTTTTCACTGGACTTGGGCTTTTATGTTTGAGAATTTTAATAATGGGAAAGCAAGCTCCTGATTTTTCACCATCTGATAATCCTGCAGCAAATTGTGAAAGTAGCCTGACAAGGCTGCTAACTTTGTTGTATTTACCAGCATTTAATTTTTGGCTTCTTCTGTCTCCAAGAACACTGAGCTTTGACTGGTCAATGGATTCTATACCCCTTGTAGAATCATTACTGGATCCACGTTGTGCAATAACTGTGATGTTCTACGGATTTCTCACATTCTTGGGAGTTTACTGTTTGACAAGGTGTTTTCTTTGTGTTGAAACAAGTATAGAGGATCACACTGGAGATGAAACAGTCAGGAAGGAAAATCCTTCTGTGGCTCATAGAAAAGATCATGCACCAAAAAATGGGAAGAAACAAACAAGATCTACAGAAAGTTCTGGAGGACCTTCGAAAGATACAAATTCATATCCACCATACCAGAACAACAATTTACCAATGAGATCATTCAATGTCACATACAGAAATAACTTGCTTCAAGCTGCCCTTATTGCTCTTACAATCGTAATGTTTTCTTTTTTGCCAGCTAGTAATCTGTTTTTCTATGTTGGGTTTGTGGTGGCTGAGAGAATACTTTACATTCCCAGTGTGGGGTTTTGTCTGTTGATTGCAATCGGAGCTGATATAATTTGGAGGGCTTGTAATGAGGATCAGCAGAGGTTATTTACTGGGCTCTTGGTGTGTGTCTTCATCTTATCTGTTGCAAGAACGGTGCAAAGGAACTGGGACTGGCAGAATGAAGAAACTCTGTACAGGTGATCATCTCTAGATTATTTAAGATATAGAATGCACACTCCCATTGGTCAATAGGTGTGTTTAAATGACAGTATACAAACATGGTTGTGACAAGAAGTAGTTACTTTGTAAAAGCAATAGGGGACTCTTTTTCAACATTTACATCATTTGTCCTCGTTGCACCATGGGACACATAAGGCTTTAGCGTTTACACAGCCTCATCTAAACACTAGAGGGGTTGGGAGAATTCTCAAAAGTTATGCAAACCCCGAGCTGACTGTATCTCAGGTTTGCATAACTGTCTCAGAATTCTACCAGCCCCCTTCGTATTTATATGAGGCTATGTAAACACAGCAAAAATACTCTTAACGCTTTTAAAACTCAAACTGTAGTAGCATATATAATATATATGTGTACATAATCCCTAAAACGTTTACATTGTTTTCAGAGAATGTTTATTTTATGTGTTTCTTAGGTGTTGAGCTTGGTCTGGTGCTATAGCTATTCTCTAATAGTTGGTGAGGGGCAATGCCCTGTGACAATTAGCATAGTCAAAAAAAGCTGAGAGGACATAGTCTATTAAGCCACAGCCTTGTTATTAAACATAGATCACAGAAAACTACTCCCAGAAACTGAATAAAAGTTCTCTGTATTTTCAACAGAGTTTTGAATTATGACTTCCAGGTAATCAGAATGTGTATTTCCTGCACTTTTTTCAAAGTGTAGTGCAAAGTTATAATTTTCCTGATTATAAATATTTATGATCTTTCATATATTCACTGGTATTCTTCATCATCTATGGGTATATTATAAACTCACAACTTGACCAGCTCCCAGTTGGCTTGATAGCTCAGCTGGTAGAGCACTGCACTGGTTTCACAGAGGTTGTGTGTTCGAATCCATTCAAGCCTGAATTTTTTCAGGCTTTTTTCAGGCTTAATTTCACAACTGCTTAAGTTGTGTGTGTAAATGCAAAGATCAGTCATGTCTTCATAAAAAGTATAGTGCTGTGTGATTTTGCTTTAGTTTTTAGTATAAAATTGTACAAATCTATTAATATATCTCATGTTGTGGCATATTATTGCATTCTTAATAGATCTGGCATCTCTGTTAACCCTGCTAAAGGTAAATGTCTAGTTTTTGTGCTTCTTTATCCTTGGAGATGATTATGCGTAAACTAGTCTCCCTGTTTACCCATAATTAATATTATCTAGCTCAACAATTATTACTGTACATGTATACATTTATTGAACAGGAAAATACTCATTTTCGGTTGTAAAGAACATCAACTTCTTATAATCAAAACGTGGTTAACAAGTATTTTTAAATGAATAAAATACAATGTGTCTTATAAGTATCCTATCACTAAAAAATTTTTTTATTGTAAGTACTGATCACTTTGTTAGGTAAAACCAAATGCGGTAACACCTAACTCAACAATATTCTTTTATGACTATCAGCTTGGTCAAATCTTGGCAATGTATTGAATTCTCAAAGGAGAGTTAGAGAAGCAGAAGATGCTTACAGAAAAGCTCTCTCGTATCGCTCCAATATGGCTGATACTCATTACAACCTGTAAGTATGTTAAATGTATTTGTAAGCTCCTTCAGAAAATGAATCCTTTATAAAATTGGGTAGAAGTCATTGTCTAATTTTTTGTTGTCAGTATTAGTGTACATCTTAACTTTTGTAATTTTTGACTTGATACTTGATTTATTTAGGATGCAAGGGCTAGATGTAAGTTTGTTCAGTCTCACTTTATTACTTTTCAAGAGGTATTGCTATAATTATTTTGCTTTTTAGAGGGATTCTTTTAGCTGAGGAGCAACGCTACAGTGAGGCAGTCCAAAGTTATCAACATGCCATCCACTTTAGACCTAGACTGGCTGGTGAGATCAGTTATCCTTGTGGCGCTGATAGTAAATTAATCACATGCTAAGGACTTCTGTAAAATTTCCTCATGAAAGTAGTAAATTGATACCTACTGTTACTCATAACTAAGGGAATGGCAGAATGAATTTTCTTTATTATTTTAAGTGGCTCTTTTACAAAAAAATAATTTCTAAATTTTGTAAATAAATTAGATATATGCTTCTCTGCAGCTGCCCATTTGAATTTGGGAATTGTGCTGGCTGACATGGGGCATAAGGAAGAAGCTGTTAAGGTATTGTTCCTTGCCAGATGACACACAGTTGTACACAGTTGTACACAGTTGTACTTGTCATTTACGTCCAACTGTCCTAATCACCTATCAANGATTAGGATTTTAATTTTAGGATTTTAAACTTAGGATTTTAATTTTAAAGTATTGTAAAGCGCCATGGACAATTAGTGGAAAATGGTGCTATATAAATGGATATTTATTTATTTATATATTTATTTATTTTGTTTAAGTTTATAATTTATTTGACTCACAACATGACAACCTTTCATCAAAGATGCCATAGCCTGTAAATGGAGTGGACAGGATTTTTATTAACTAGTATTAACAAACTAAAGGGAAAAAGTTGCAAACAGTACTATCTGTAATATGTCTGTCAGTAGTGTGTGGAAAGGAAATGTCAGTAAGACTCAGTAAATGTTAAACTGTTCATGAACAAGCCACCAAGATCTGGTGGTATGAAAACAAGCTTTTCATATTGGTCAGTTAGAGGTGTTTGTTACAAGTAGAATGAGATATAGGGCAAGTTATTCATATAAGGTATTCATCGCAATTAATTGATATGGTGATCTTTCTTTGTTTTCTTGTTAGATTTTGAGAAATGCTTCAACCATCAGTGGTCATGGTTTAAAGGATCCCAAACAACACTCTCATTCTAGTAAGTACAGTAGGCAGCTGAAAGTATAGCCCATGGATGTTAATAAGAGAAGGGTGTGGTGTCTGTGGTAGATGAATCTCAAAGAACTTATGCACTGTATGCATGCCTAAAAATATGCGCAGTGTGTAAAGTACATCTGATGACACTGTGATAGTGGCTTTTGTCTGGTGGGCAAGTGAATTACTTTCATTAATCATCCGCTGAAGTGAAGTAATTTATTTAGGGTGAGTTATGAAGGTGTATATATTTGCAGGTTCCAGAATCAGGAGCTGGTGTGCAGAGTGAGAGCCCTCAAACTGGAGTGTTGTGTGTTTTTTTCTTTAATGAGAGAAGCTTTACTGTCATGCTCCTCCCTTTAATAATCTGACAAAATACTGTGCCTGCCTGACTATGTACATCTTGTGTACAGCCAATAATGTTTCTTCTCACAAATCTATACACTGATTCAGACTATATCTAGCAGTTTTATTTTCAAAATGGCACAATTGCTTAGAACTCAGGTAGCAAAGCAAATTACAGTCAAAACAGCTCAAGCATTCCTGCCAAGGATGAATGAATGAGTTCACTACCGGAAATTTTGATTTCATTACTTGTTTCAATAGTCCGTTCTTCGAGTGAAGAGTAGAAAATTCAAAACAAGACTCGATCCAATACTCGAATTTTGATTGGATTAATGAACTTTATTTAAAACGAATCTTTTCAAAAATAGTTAGGTATCTTGACACAAACCTACCATTTCTGCCCCTTCCATAAAACCCTCTTTGATGTCAGCCATCCTTGATATCTTTCCCGCCACTACAGGAGAAGTCCTGGTGCTTAGCATTCCAAATATATGGTATAAGCGTATTGTTCATTAATTTAATTCATTTACCCTTGGCAGGAACGCTTGAGCTGTTTTGACTGTAATGTAACTTACATAATTATATGATACATATATGATATATGTGCATGCACTGACTTACTATATATGATCTGTGTTTTTTCTTACCACTTACAAGTTGCATCAATAAAGTACAACCTTGGACGGATCTTAGCTCAACTTGGACGAGTAGAGGTAAGTAGATTTTTTTTCTGGCTAGACAGTAGCCTTCTATTTAAGCACACAAGCAGAAGCACTGAGTCTTCAAGGACTACTTTTAATTATCGATGTATCATAAGCCTTACATATGAGAGGTTTTTATTGTTATTTTTATCTGCTGACAGGAAGCCCTTATTATTTACCTGGATGCAGTAGAGACCAGACCACCTCATTACGAGCCTCATAGTCTGTTCAACTTGATAGGTAAGTCTTTTCAGTTTGTTATTCTTTGATTGCATAAATGTGAAATGCTTACTTTTCAGGAATGTGGTGTGCACCCTAAGGAATGTTTTTGTTTGCTGTTTGTCGTCCATTTATATCACTTTCTGCACAGTCAAGTAATGATGTATGTGGGCTTGTACACAAAATTTCTTAATAATGGCAGGTATTCATAGGAAAGTCAGACCATTTTTGTGCCTCAAAAATTTTAAGAACTCTGATTTCACATGGAAGAATGATCCCAGATTTAATCTGTTATTCTTGAAGGCTAGAAAAATGCTGGCTTTGAACAAGTTCAGACAACAATACTCAGTTGATGTGGATAGTGGATCAATCAAAGTGTTGTCAGTTATTTTTCATGGATTATTGATGCAAAATGAACATTTCTGTAGGAATGCATTAACAATGCACCCAGTTGAATCAGCTCCGAAAAAAATTATTTTTTTTGTTTTTGCCTGTGCAGAATTTGATCACATTGTTTGAGTATTTCTTTATAATTTATGAGGCATAAATAAACATGCTTATGGACCATACATATACAGTATGTACACCGTTCAAACTGATTGTGATGATAGTAATGATAATATTTGGTCAAATATTTTTATTATGTCTTCATTCTGAGTATCTGACAGAAAAATATATTTAAACATAGAAGGACATCCTGAAAAGAAATTCTCAAAGGTTGTCAGTATATACTTAGAAGAATATGTTAAGTGTCATACTGACCATTTTGTTTATCATTCAGGGTCAAATGCATTTAATTTTTACTTATTTTCTTAAAGTGGTACTATGATCAAATTTTTACCCCTTGATTTTTTAGGTGTATCACATAGAATTCCATGAAAGAATAAAAACGTTGTTTACCGTTTGCAAATATCTGCATTAGTTCCAGAGATATCTAAGTTTGAAAAATGTGTAAAATATTCAAATGAGATGCTTGATGACGTCATACACTCAACCCAATATTAATCAAGTACATAAATAGAGCTATCTTGGCCAATTTGCAGCACAGACCATTGAAACTTGGTAGGCTAATAGTTCTACACACACAGCTATAAACAATTGTTCCCATGGCAACTCACTCCTTTCCAGTCCCCATCCACTTGATTTCAATATGTTAGTGATTTTCAGCTCAAAAAACGTTAAACAAGGTCACAAACCCAAGCTAACATATTTATATGCTTGCTGGATCATGCATATGAGACACCATTAGCAAATATCAAAATGGAACACCAAAGGTGGCCAGAAAAGCCTTTAATA